CTCCTCGTCAGATGAGCGTTGTTCCCTTCTACAATTCTCATCTCGTCACTGACGGTCTTGACTTGGAGGCCAAGTCTGAGGGTCCGATCAAACAGAAGTGATAGCGCCTCTGTCTCGGTGGGGGTAGGGTTTTGTCCCTGAGGATTGTTTGACCTCGTATCGATACGTTCCCCCTTGCTCCCTCACCTATCCGTTAACAACACTGGCAATCCAGGCTGGATTGTTGATCCTTTTCTACAGGTCGTCGTGGCTAGCCCTGTAGTCTTGGGGGACGTTTTGCACCCATCCTTCATGGAACAGATCATATTGGATGGGTTGGGTTTCCATCCTATGTAAACCAGAAAGTCGACTCGGTGACTTCTTCCTGATTCCTCCTTGTACCGGGATCCACTTCCAGGTTACCTTCCAAGTGCGTGGGATTCTTGAGCCTACTAGGTAGGGAAGTGGTGGTGGAGAGGTGACGATTTCCTCCTCATACATGGGTTCCACTTCCTTGTGTTCTGATGTCTCCATTTCCTCATTAGGATCTGCCTCCTTTTCAGGATCCTCCTCATTGCCTGATCCTCGTTTACCGCTCTTCTCATCCTAAAAATATTAAAATTTTTGTTAGTATCATGGTTTATCATATATTTTACACATATATCTCACAATTTTAAGCATTTACTCGTTGATTTAAATTTCATTACTTTTTTATAAGTATTTAACAAATCAACTATTTCACATATGTTATGTAATGCATAAACTCTGACCATAATAAAACTTAGATGCACGACTAGGTTTAGTTGTGGTACGACCTATATACCAAGGAACCTAGTTGAGTATTTTGAATTTTAAATTCTTGTGCCTTTAAAATTTTGTCATCTTGTATTAGTGTTTTCTCATCGAGGGACTGATTTTTCATATAACTCTATATCTTGTATCTCTTAGTGTACTATTAATTAATATTTGTTACATCAGGTCTATCTGATAAGGCTCCGGTCATTTAGGATAGTCGGAGGGTAGGACCATATTAGCATATAGTTGTTCTGAAATCCAACAACCCAAGCGAAATATCCTTCCTTACACCGCTCTCGTAAGTAGTCCTTCAGTAGTATAGTTAATAATACTTTATTACTTTATAGGATTATAGGAATAACCTTAGTATTGAGGCATAAGTCTAAAGAAAGAACCTAAGCGTAATGTGTCGTAGGTTAATAGGAATAAACCTATTCATAAGATGTTGTAGGTTTAAGAATACATTGACTATAGTTGTGCTCTCCTAGGAAAGTACTAATTTACTATAGTCATTAGCTCTGATACCAATCTGTCACAGCCCGACCGACAGTGGAATCGTCGGGGTCGCGACATAAACGTTGGATCACAGTTAAACAACATATATTGAACAATACCAGGATTTATATAACATTACATTCTTCCAGTGTTCAAGTATGAAAAATTACATTGTTTAACAAATCCCAAAAAGCGATAATTACTAAATACAATTTTAGCAAAGCGTAAGAAAGGAACAAAAGGCCTGCTGAATTGCCCAACCATTTACTATAAGGAAATAAATCATTCATCACACACAGAATGTGTATTCTTCCAGCTCTTTAAGTTCCTGAATTTATATACTTTTAAAAACAACATGCCAACAATAATGTTGGTGAGCTTTATAGGTTTTGACTCAGTACGTTTTTATTATCGAAAGTGTGTTTAAAACCATTGATTTATAGAAAAAGAGTAAATTGCAATTTGTTCACATTTGTAATCCCATACAAGTAAAAGAGTTTTGTTTGTCAATTATAACTTATTAAACATGGGTTATAATTAAATAAGTGTGTTGTGTTGCATCTTTATAAAACATTAAATATGTAAATAAATATTCAACATTTAACCATTTGAATAAATTCTTCCCATTTTATTCATGCACATTCTAGAATGAATTTTCGAGTTCTAATATGAGCCTATAACCGAACTACGGACGAGAAAACATCTACAAAGCACAGTGAATAGATGTGTCGCGATCCTCACTAATGTTTCATCAACATCATGAAATAAGAAGAGAATGAACCATTACACCCGTTTTGATTCGTTAGATGGAGGTTGTAGCTAGAAACAACAGGAGGGACTGACAACCCATATAGATCTATACCAATAAGTTACATCTTCCTTACGGATTAACAGTTATAACATAGAGGGTTAGTACTAAGTTTTATGTTCTTAGCAGATGAAGTATTTCTCATATAGTAATTCTCGTATTTAACAAGTTTAGAGTTTTTTGCATAAGTTTAAGTCCCAAACTTTAATAAAAAGTTAAATTGACTAATTAGTTCAAATCCTTCAAGAAAGAAAATCAGACTTTAAAACTTAAGTTGTTAAGTTTTTCTATACTTAGAGTTTTTAAGCTTTATACCGATTTTCTAACAAAAATTGGGTAGTGTAACGGCTGCGTTTTAAATAAATCTAGATTTCAACCAATGTGAAATCCACCAATAAACACATAATTAGTAACATAAATATATGAATAAATCAGTTATTAACCGAAAAACATAATAAACTCACTTTTACTATATTTTTTTTCAACTGTCGTTAAATAATTTTTGTTCACGAAATGGTTTCTTTAGTTCATATATATATATATATATATATATATATATATATATATATATATATATATATATATATATATATATATATATATATATAATTTGATAATTTCTAAAACACATATTTATATAAATATATAAATATATTAATATGTAAATATATGATCAAATCATCATTTTACGTCTAACATTTATTTTTTGCTAAATTTTGAAAAACACTTTAATATATATGTATATAATACACATTTTAGTAAGTATATATATATATATATATATATATATCATTTTAACAAGTGTAAAACACTTTTAATGTTCCATTTTTATATAAACTAGGTGGGAACCCCCGCGTTGCGGGGGTCGGACACGACGTTTTTTTCCGTTGTGTGTTCTTTGTAAATGTTAGGCGGTCACATTTTGTACAAAAAACTGGTCCCTTATATTGTTTTGGTTTTGTTTTTGTACATGGATTGTATTTGTTAAACTGCTTTGAAAATAAAGAATGTAATTAAGTACGTAAATAAATAAATAAATGTCGATATCTTGTGTTAAAGCTCTTTTCGTTGTAAGAGGATCGATCATTATATCAATGTTACAACACCCATTTGTTGGTTATAAATTGATAAACAGTGTAAACTATAATACATGTTCAGTCATGGACAATAGTTTTTTGTGAAAACCGTAGAATATTTCCTAATTCGTCTATCATGTTGGTCCTACACTATTTCCACATGTGTTTTGTTAAAACATTTGCATCTAAGTTCAAAGTTTCTTTTTTATGCCCTACAAAAGGCTGCGAAAGCGATGTATTTTTGCCAAGAAATAACCTTTTTCTTAATTATGTTACGTTCCAATCCGTATGTCATTAGAATCCATATGAAAAATATCAAAAATTCTGATAGTTCATGTCTTGTTTCATTTGTTTTTCTTGTATGGTTTTAGCAACAACGGTAGAATCTGAAGAGAAGGAGGCATCGATTGAATGCGATGGAATACGACTGTAGGTTTCTGATCGAAGCTTAAAACGGGTGGAGCGGAGGTACCTGTTCACGACAGATAAGGAATCTGACGCAACCTTTCCGCCAGCGTCACCAGCTGAGAGCGAGGTGAGAAAAGGATAATCTGGAAGAATCGAGATGAGGCGGTGGGTTATTCCGGATGAGATTGGAGCGGTTACCATGGTTGAGAAGTGAACCCGCTGATTCAAACTACAACATAGATTAAGAAATCCAGCGTCCGAAGCAGCAGGGAGTTCATATGCCAACCCAAATAGTTTTACATGGATCTAATCAGATTAATAGTGAAACTGAATCTCTTCTAAAGGCACAAAATTTTGTTACCATTTCAGATTATTGCATCAAAGTTTGCTGGTCTTTTGGTTGGCATATGAAATTCGTGCTCCTTCAGACGCTCAAGAACAAATGATTTTACTAAATAAACAATAGCAACTAAAATGTATTCAATATTTTAATTTCACCAGTTTTCAATGTGTCTTTTTCACTCAGGACCTATGTTTTGGCCTAAAGAAAACAAAGTAGAGTCAATGTGCTTACAGTTGACTTTTAATTGAACAAACATACAAAGAAATGGCTGGGCTTGTAAAAAAAATTAGAAATTAGTAAGCTTGGCAAAAAAATTCAATTGTAAAGCACAAAACTATCCAATATATAAAAGTTTTGTTCTCAGCCAACTAACTACAACAAAACACTGCAATTCTTAAATTAAGCAAGCATCAAAGAAATGTAATCTACACTTGATATAAGTTTTGTTAAAAGATTTGAACCTTACTCTTCTGGGCAGGCTATATGGATCTTGATCACACACCCGTGAAACATAATCCACCTGCCAATCAATGAAAATACTACATTTGTCAATAGATTTTAATAACTTTTTATTATAATGAAGTATACAATGAAAAACTACATTAAACAACAAATAAGTACCCAAAGCAAAGGTCACGTCCTTTTGACAGGAAGTCCTTCAGCTAGGTAAGACATTGTGAGAGGCCCTTTTTGAATAAGTCTATTCAATAACATTCTTGTTTAAAATCATAATTTATTTCAATAATATAATAGACTTATTCGAAAAGGGCCTAACGCAATGTCTTGTCCATATGAAATTCAAATGCAAGATCAAGGTCTTTTAATGTGGTGCCCTTGCTCCCTTAAGCTGATATTGTTGCCTAAACTCACCAATTAATCATTCATATATAAAATAATAATAATAAATACACATTATCTACCTGACTAAAAGCATTTTCTATCGGATTCTGAAGAAATGAAATCATCATGATCTTTACCAATATAATGGTCGTTTCTGTCTTGCTGACATGCACTTGGCAGACTCGTTAGTTCTTGACGTATCCCACTAAATGTGGAAGAGCTATTGCCATTCAAGTCTGTTCCCATCACTGATTTCTTAACACCGTATGTGCCTTCTCAACTGCCTTTGGCCGCCAATAAGGCATTTTGCCAAAATCGCATCACAAATTTCCTTGGCAAACCTACACAACAGTAAGAAATACTTAAGACAAATTAACAAAAGGACTCCTTAAAGATGAATCGATGATATAACAAAATGACTCCTTAAAGATGAATTGGTAATATAGGAGCATCATATTCATTGTGCATGAACTGTTGTTGATGTAGGAAGACAAATTATAATAAAAAATTAAAGACGAAATGGGTAAAACCTTCCAGCATCGGTATCCGTTGCTTTTAAGTAACCAATTAGGGCATCAAGCACCTTATCTTGTACAGGGACAATCGAATCAGCAACTATCTGCTCAAAAAAATTGCTTGATCAATCCCCCTAGTCTTGGTCTGGTGGTGGCTTTTGGTTCATGGGGTTTCTCCATTTGTGAAACTCTAATTAGATGATGCAAATGAAAAGTCAGTTAAGGGATATTTTTTATTAGGGCATTTTCGTCTTTTTGCATGAAAGTTGTTGTACCTTTAGCCAGCCTAAGAAGGCGGTCGAGTTCTCTAGGGCTTAATTCATCTGGTGCAACATAGGCGGAGCTGTAAATGCCAATTTATTAGTAGCTATATAATCCGAAATTGTCATATGATGCGTAGTATAATACAATAAAAGTAAAATCCTTATTAAAATTTTGTTTATTCTATTAAGAATAATTAGGATTCACCTGTTGTGATCCCATACATTTTCTTGGCATGTTCATTTAGCAGGGAGAAGAAAATCAACCGGTAATCTTTGCCATTTTTTAACAGTTATCACATTGGGCCCACTGTGTTTATTCCCTGAAACATAATGTTTTTTATGTTAAGTTTAATTTATATATAATAAAATATAAAACGTGAAGCAATAATTGTTACCCAGAAGAGCTACTAGTGAATATACTCCCCTTTCTAAAAACAGGAGGTTCCTAAAAAAAGAAAAAGATAATTCAATATCCAAATATATTTTTTTAGATATTATTTGGGAAAGAATTAAGATGACTGACTTCATATTCTTCAAATTCTTGGTCTTCAATGGTGACACTACTTGGATTCAAAGCATTAGGTGGAGTCAACATATCTTGTAATTCTTCCCATGTATATTTGAGCTCGAGAGCATCTTGACTTTCAATCAACAATCTTTTATTTTTTGAACTAATATTTCAACTTCTTTTTTGTCTGGTTGAAATGAGTCAGCATTTGATTCGCTTTCCTTGCTTCACATTTGCATGCCAGCTGGCATCGCCAATAGCCAAGCTCATATTTCTTGACAATGAATTTAAATGGGAATCTGTATTTCTCCTTAGTAACAGAGGAAGACCAGAATAATCACTCATAGTTGAAAGACTCTCAATCGTATTAACACCAGATAAAGGGGAAAAAGCGAAGAAACAAAAGCAATTAACGAATTATTTGTTGGGAATTCAGAATGACACGGATGCATATGATGTTGAACTCAACTGCACCTCTCACAAGTCTTCCTTACAACAGAACCAAGTTCATGAGATTTTAGACATTAAGTTATGGGCTATAACTATCCCAAGTCCATATTAACTGTAGACCGACTATTCCATATGGTTAGATTAGATCAACTTACCATCAATCCTTATGAACAACTGAAGGAAACCCGGCGATTACTTTGAAATCATTGACGATATCCCCACATCACTAATCACAGTAGAATAGAGTGTGATTTCCTGCATATTAAACATCGCCTAAAGTTAAGCACAACTTACTACAACACATTGCTTTGATTTGGGGTCGACAATTGGTTTCAGAATCTGATAGGAAGCGAAAAGCAAAGAGAAAGCACTGAATCACGTTTGCAGAAACTGATAAAATTAAGCTAACAATGGAAATCACATCATAAACCCAAAACTAAACCCTAACATCTGAAATTGAGGAAACAAAGACGAAAGAAGGGGCATCGATACCTGGCTGGTAAACGTTTGATGAACCCAAAATTGGGCCCTAATAGGGATTGTGACAGAAGGTGTCACACCGCAAAACCTTGAACGGCGGAAACGTTCTGGGGTGGAGGACGTCATGTTTAGTATCACAAGACATGCATCATAGTAAGGAAAGTAATGAACAACCATTTCATTAGAAAGAAAGTGTTTACAAAGTGTGTGTTCACAAAACATAGAATACATAAGCAAATAACAAACAAGATTTGAAGCTATACTGCTCCATCTTCTGAATTCCCAGCACGAGTACATGTCTACTAGGCTCCTGAGAATACAAGTTATATGAAAGAGTTGATCAGCAATTAAGTTGGTGAGTTCATAAGATTTTAGTGATGTAAGTAAGTTGTAAAATGTTGTAGTAAACTGCTATTGAAAATGTAGTGAGTTGTAAGTTCTGTTTAGAAAAGTTCGCCTGTTCCTCTTAGGAAATCCTATATTTCCTAATTTGATGAAAGATACGTAAAAATGATCCTACAATCCCTTCTATGAGTACTAAATGGATACAAGTGATATAAAACTCAGAGTAAACAAGCAATCGACTGTGCGCATCTGCCCTAAGCTCTCAACCATTTAAGGAACAGGGAGTAAGGTGGATAGCACATATCCCATTGTTTGTTAGATCATTGTTGTATATAACTCTGGCGTGTTCACTTGTTACTCATGGAGTTAATTGTAATGGTTTCTTTATATTTAATGAAAAGATTCTTTAAGAAAAACTCTTATTTCTTATAATAAAATGGTGACCACAATGATTACTTCTATAATCACTTAGTTTATACTGACTATATTGATGGGTTTTCAGCATTCTAACACTCCTATGATGTACATGCAACCCTAGAAACCTTGGATCTATGTTTGACTAAGATACATGCAAATAATTATTTTTCCAAGGTTCTTATCCTAACTAGCATGGCATGGGGTACTTGAATCAAATAAAACTAGTAGAATTACTTACCTTGTAGTAGTAGTTGATTGCTTGGAGTTTGAGAGCCCAGCACCAATAATGTGGATGCCTCAAATGGAAGTCACAAATCACCACAAACTTGGAAACTTGAGAGAATAGTCACAAACTTCTTGAAATCGGCCCTCTTAGTTTACACACATCAACTAGTGCAATTTCAAGAACCAAAGCCTCCTTTATATAGTGTGGTGGATTAGGGTTACATCCATGTAAACCCTAATACCCATGTCTTTTCATTTCCATGAGATCCATGGGTTAAAGCTCCATGGAGTATCCATGGACTTTCCATGCAAGCCTAGCCCATTCCAAATAAGCATTAGCCTACACTATATAAATACAAGAGCCCATATTTAATTAGTCATACTTTTGATCTCTAAATTAATTCTAGATTAATTATAGATCAATACTAATTAAATAATATGATTTTATATTAATATATTAGGACTTATAATATATTAATAAATCATAACTTATACTATTCTCAAACGATTATCCATAAATTGTTCGGGTGAAGTGCAACCCAAATGGACCATGCCGGGTCGGGTCAAGTACATACCAAATATAGTTATGGACTTAGACACTATATCCAACAGTCTACCACTTGGATAAGTCTAATAACTATAGTTGCAAGTATGACTTCAGGAACCGATTAGCAATCGTAGCTCTTTAAACTCTGTTGAACTATGAAGCGCCATTTTAGATAAGTGATCATATAATCCTCTGTTCTAGATATCAGCCGGACAAATACATGGAACATGGTCTTGCTTATTGTCCAGCATTTGTTTCCCGATTTCCGATTTGTTTGACATAGAACTTAACTGAACACATCAATTTAGTTCTGACCGGGCCCGGTACATAGGTCAAAACAAAATCATAGAGGGGCCCAGATATCGCTTCTAATCCTAGAAGGAACAGATAAACTTCGACTCATATGTTTGCTCTACTACTTGTTGAATTACACACAAAAGCACGGTTTATAACATCGAGTTACCAATGCGTTTTCGTGCAATCAATGCATAACCAACTCATAGGCAACAAATCATATCTCTAGGTTTGAAGTCTTATATGATATTACCGTCTCACGATCACTCGAGATAAATTCCATGAAGTGATACAAGTGAGCGTGGGTTGAATCCAATACTCAGAACTTATGAGCACTCATGAGTGTTGTAGCCCCGCTTTGTCTAACATCTTAGACCTCTACAAGCCAACCCATGACAGTCTTGATTCATATCTACTTCCAACATATGACCGACTGTGGAGAGTTTGAATAATATGATATAAACCAGAACATAATTATTCTGGAAGTCAAAACATGCAAAAAGAAATAATAGTAAACGATTGACAAGAGATAGCAACACTTTACTCATAAATAACAGCTTTTATTTATCATCAAATGTCAATTACATTTTACAAATTTCAAGATTATCTAACTACTAAAACTAATATCATCCTTCAGCCCTATGCTCCGAGCATGCTGGAGATGCTTAGCCCGAGTCAGTCCCTTCGTGAGGGGATCTGCTGGGTTCTCATCCGATGATACCCTCTTTGCCGCGAGGATTCCTTCTTCTATTCGATGTCTGATGAAGTGATATTTTCTGTCAATGTGTCTGGATCTCCCATGATCTCTTGGTTCCTTGGCTAAGGCAACCGCACTATTGCTGTCACAGAAAATCTCCATTGGCTCCTTTATAGCTGGTACAACTCCAAGGTCTCCGATGAAGTTCTTTAGCCATATAGCCTCCTTTGCTGCCTTGCTTGTTGCTATATACTCTGATTCACAAGTGGAATCAGCCACTGTCTCCTGCTTGGAACTTTTCCAAGTAATTTCCCCTCCGTTTAGAGTAAAGACCCAGCCCGACTGAGAGCGGAAATTATCCCTATCAGTCTGAAAGCTAGCATCACTGTACCCTACAACTCTCAAGTCCTCACTGCCACCGAGGGTAAGGACCCAGTCCTTAGTCCTCCATAGGTACTTGAGGATATTCTTTACCGTAGTCCAGTGTGCCTTGCCAGGGTTCCCCTGATACCTGCTAACCATGCTCAAAGCAAAGGCTACATCAGGTCGAGTACACGTCATAGCATACATGATCGATCCTACAGCTGAAGCATAAGGTATTCGACTCATTTCTGCTATCTCAGCCTCAGTACTAGGGCTTTGTGTCTTACTCAATCTGGCGTTACTCTGGATGGGTAACTCTCCTTTCTTGGAGTTATGCATGTTGAACCTTTTCAACACTTTGTCCACATAGGTGCTTTGACTAAGTCCAATTAGTCTTTTACTCCTGTTTCTCAAAATCCTTATCCCTAGGATATAGGCAGCTTCTCCAAGGTCCTTCATAGCGAAACACTTCCCAAGCCAGGACTTTACTTCCTACAGGGTTGGGATGTCATTTCCTATGAGTAGTATGGCATCCACATACAGTACCAAAAAGCTGACTATACTCCCACTAGCCTTGATATAGACACAAGATTCATCTTCACTCCTTGAAAAGCCAAATTCTTTGACTTTCTCATCAAAGCAAAGATTCCATCTGTGAGATGCCTGTTTTAATCCATAAATGGATTTCTCGAGCTTACACACTCTACTGGGGTACTCTGTACTGACAAAACCCTCTGGCTGAACCATGTAAACATCATCAGCCAACTTTCCATTAAGGAAAGCGGTTTTGACATCCATTTGCCATATTTCATAATCATGAAATGCAGCAATGGCTAACAGAACCCTAATAGACTTAATCTTGACCACTGGAGAAAAGGTCTCATCATAATCAACTCCCGGTGTTTGTGAGAAACCCTTTGCAACCAGTCGTGCCTTATAAGTGTGTACATTACCATCCATGTCGGTCTTCTTCTTGAAGATCCATTTGCACCCTACAGTCTTACGACCTGGTACATTCTCAACCAAGTTCCAAACTTGATTGTCATACATGGACTGTATCTCGCTGTCCATTGCCTCTTTCCACTTGGCTGACTCAGGGCCTGCCATGGCTTCCGCGTAACTGTTAGGTTCATCCAGACTTATCAGTGTCTCATCACTGATAAGTGTATCACCTTCCGCAGTAATATGGAATCCATAATAATGCTCGGGTGTATTCCTAACCCTTGTGGAATGCCTTAGAGGTACAGACTTGTCAATTGGCTCAACAGG